CTGTCTGGAAAACTCTGTTTCCTTGTGGTCATTTACCACCTCTGACTCTTACAGTATTTCCACCCTCTCTTCCTCAATGATTCCTGAGTCTTGGGAGGCAGGTGTTGAAATAGGTGTCCTATTCAGGGATGAGCACTCTGTAGCCTCTTGTTTTCTGCACATTGGCCAGTTGTGGGTTTCTGTGTTAATCACCATTTGCTGCATAAGAAAACTTCTCTGGTGATAGTTGAGAGACATGTTCATCCTATGTGTAGAGGTTGCATTGAAGATGGGTCACTTAGGGCTGAGTATCTCACAGGCACTTATTTTCTGTATTTGACCAGTTCTGGAACTCTAATAGTTTCCACTTGTTGCAAAAAGAAGCTTCTTTGATGAGTGGTGAGAAATACACTTGTCCACCTAGTCAGGTGCTCTCTGGCAGCCTCAGTAGGAAGGAGCCAAGGCCCAAGGATCTTGCACCAATTGAAATACCAGACTGTATCCTATAAACATGTATAATTATCATGTATAAAATATTTAAAATACATGGGAAACTATTTTTAAAGGATGAGAAACAGCACTCCAAATATATTAGAGGTCTCTGACTACCAATCGTAGCTTAAAGTAGGGCACAGAATTCCAAGATTGGTCACAGGGTGGAACTATAGATCCCTAGCCCCATTTTTCCTAAACGAAGAAAATGTTTTGAGGTTTAAGAAAAAGCCATGAGGCTAAAGATTTTCTTCATTATTTGTCTGAACATTTTGTTATTCAGTTCAATGTCACCCCATGCCTCTAATTGTTTTTGGAGGAAAGGGAAAATACATTTGTATGTGACTAGTGTTTACTAAATATACACTCTGTCCTCAGTGTTGTCCAGAGTGCTTTGAATAGACTAACTCTGTTAATCTGCACAGCAACTAATTAGTTACTTTTGTATCTCTGTGGTCACAATTATTGGTACAGAAGCAACTCAAGGGAGGAAGATTTATTTTGGCTCACTGTTGCAGAGGGTTCAGCTCCTCATGGCCAGGAAACTATGCGAAAGTGCTTGAATCATGTCAGTGGAAGCACAGACAGAAGTTGTTCACATCACAATGAACCAAGAGGCAAAGAGCAAGACAGGAAGTGGGCAGGGCTAACATACTCCAAATGACCTGCCTTCAGCAACCTACTTCCTTCAGTGAGGCCCTCACCTCCCAATGGTTCCACAGCCTCTTAGGTAGTTCTCATCTACCATATGAGAACCAAGTTGACAACTATGAGCCTTGGGAGGGATGCCTCAGATTCATATCATAACAACATTGGGTCTTATTATACTTGTGTCATAGTTGGAGCAGACACTAAGAGTCTGAACAACCCACTGAAATCACACAGGTGTGCAGAAGCCCTGCTATTGGAGCAGAAAAGGCCAAGTCTGAGTCAGCTCCACCTTGTAACTATTCTGCAGGACAAGACAGGCCCTCATCAGGCTAGTTCTGCACCTGAGTCCTAGATTTGGTGTCTGCACTTAGGTGGGCCTGCAGGAAAACTAACCACTTTAACCAGGCAAGGCAGATTGAATCCTACTGCCAGACCACAGCTAGGCAAAGACAGAGCAATTGTCCTTTCTGATTATCTTCAGAAATAATCCTTATCTCTGATAAGGAGGGCACTGATGACTGAAACAAGAGGTTTGAGAGGATATGATACAGAATTCTAAGAGACTGAGCACTGTCAGGCAGTTCATGCAGTTATCCCATGAATATTGATGGAGCTCCTGCTACGTATACTATACACACATGCCATTTTCTTGCTGTGTGATTATGTGTAGACACCAACTGCTAAGAATTCCTTATTGACTTCCCCAACTGGTGCCTGCTGGGTGTTGTGGGTGCCTGGGATAATGTTATGCTGTCTGTCTGTCTATCATCTTCCTACCTACCTACCTACCTACCTACCTACCTACCTACCTACTTACCTACCTTCTGTGTCTATCTATCATTTACTATTTATTCTTTTACTTTGGCTTGCTATATATTTAATAAACTCACTCATTCAAATAAAAGAGGAGGAGGAAGAAGAAGAAAGAAACTCCTGCCTTTGTGGGCAGCTTCTCCACCTTCCTTTCTTGGCATCTAGCAGCCCAACTGGAGGGGCCCTCACTATACATGGGGTTGTTTTTGTTCAATAACGCTTGGAAGCACAAGTGAGCTCTGTATTACCACCCTTTCCGCAGGGTGTCCAGGGAGCTTGGAAAGTACTCTTGCAGCCCTGCAGAGCCTTGGGACCGCCCAAAGCACCAGCCAGGAGCTTTGTTCCTCAAGCCTCTGGAGAAAACCTTTGATTTCATGGGGATGATCATTTTTATTCTTGCCCACTCAAGGATGAAGCCCAAGGAACAAGAGGTTTCCCCTTTCAGAGGAGTCACAATGGTTTACCTCCAGCCAAACCCACTGGGCTTTGTGTTTTGTTATTTCTGGGTTTGGTTGGGCCTCTCTTGGAAACCATTACTATACAACTTACTTAAAGAAAGAGTGGAAGGATTGGGTCTAAGAGACTCAGACAGAGGGGGATGGAGTTGGAGGGGGTGGATCTGGAGCACAGACCTTGGGAGGAGTGTGTCATTAGAAAAGGTGCGGTAAGAACACATTGCAGTGACAATACCATTTGAATCAACTCCATTTTGTAGTGACATTTTTAATCTTTTGCAAAGTCAAAGTATTCCAAGTTTGACTTTTGGCCAAGTCTAAAGAATTGGAACTTTGCATGAAGGTTTCAGAAAAAGGCACTACACACACACACACACACACACACACACACACACAGAGAGAGAGAGAGAGAGAGAGAGAGAAAGGGGGAGGGTGACTTTTATCCTAAAGTCATTGTAAATCCAAAGCAGGGTTTATCCTTCACAGTTAAATGAGAAAGGAAAAAAAAAAACAAAACAAGAATACCAACATTCGCAGTACAAAGACTGTCATGGACCAGTGGAAGTTTGCAAAATTATATGTAAATGACCAATGGTTTTTTTTTTTTTTAACTTTACTGTGGTGTCCTTGTGCATTCCCAAAGCTAACCCTGAAGAGAAAATCTACTTAGCAAAAGAAAGTTTTGTCTAATTTGGTTAACAGTTGAGAAGTGACAAAAATGCCGAATATATTAATAATTTATTTTTCCAGGGTAACACTATATCTTTAATGCTTCACTGCCAAGGGGAATTCAGATTGGCTTAATGCTGGAGGGAAAAAAATAAAGCATTTGAAAGGCCTTCTTCATATTCTGTATCCAGCTCTGCTGAAAATGGGTGTAAGACATGTGCTGCAATAATGGGCGCCATCCATTCTCCTATTCCTGCTTAATCTGTTTTTATCCCATATTGCCTCTGCATGTTTGCTATCCAGGAAGGCCATCTATTTCCTCTAATCAACAGTCCGACTCTGCTCAGTTCATAAGGAAAGAGGTAGCTCACATTTTATAGATTATTTCTAGACTCTCTTGCATGCAACTCTTCTAAAATTTATAGATTTCTTTCCCTAAAAGTATGTGTACATACAATAAGTTTCATTTCACAGACAGTGTAATGAAAGGCTTTGATTATCTGCCTGTCTCTGACTAATAAAGTTTGATGGTTTACAAGTTGCAGGCCATCCTATTCCATGACCTCAGTAAATAGGGTGGGTCAGAGTTCTTTTAAACACTGAGAAAAAGAATAAGTTAATTTAATGTTCTTTGGTTAACCAGGAAGAAAAAATCACCTCATTCTGTTTCTGCTAAATGGCTTTTGAAAACAGGAAAACGGTGCTACCCAATTTCAAATTATTTGTGTAAAGGATACTGAAGGCAGCAGAACCAAATGTTCAGAGAAAACCAACCAGCGATAGAAAAATTCAAATCTCCACAGTTTGAGGTAGGATGACTTATTTTACATATTGATTTAAAACAAAGTGGAAGTTCATTTTGCTCTTGGATCTTTGAAAACTGGGATTGTAGTCTATTATTTTTAATGTATTGCTGTTTTGTGGATAAAGCCCACATCCTCTGAATGTGGAAAAGCCAGGGTACCAGCTTTCCTCAGTATGTTCTGCACGATGAGAAAAAAAAAAAAAAATCTGCTGGGAAGAGGGGGCCAGTCTTTTCCCCTTAGGCCTGCGAATATGAACAGAGGACCCAGGGCCGGCGGGGGGATGGTGGAGATTTCCCGGGAGTGGGCGGGGGGACTCTTCCAACCTGTATGAGTCTCTGCCCACATCGCCTAGAGCCCCTGCTGCTGGACTGATGTGTGCGTAAAAGGCGATGCCTGCTTCTCTGAACACTCTGATGCCCAGTGGTTGTCATCCGAAAATAAAGAAAATCAACTTCGATGAATGTTGTTTCTAAGACCTAGTTTAAATGCTACTTGCTCCATGCACTGATTTATCTTTAATACAGAGATTTATTAAGGTTGTGAACTCAGCTACAGGCTTGGGTTTTGTGGCTTCCCAGATGCACCGGCTTCTAAGCCAGCAGACTGCCTAGGAAGACAGCCCAGGTCCTAGGCCAAACCGGTTTGGGGCAGGTCTTTCGATTTGCATATTCTGAGAGCCAAGGGCGGGGTTCTAAACCTCTCTCTCTCCCCAGTTTCTCATAGGCAACTGCCCAGGTCGCGCTCTGGGGAAACTAGACTAAGTCTTGAGCACCCCAGGAGCGGTCTCCCACCCCCAAGGGACGCCTCCTATATATACCTGCTTAAGCTTTATTCAGCCCTCCTCTCCCTTAGATTTCGCCAAGGGCCTTCTCCCCAGTCAAATTACTGAGTGTCCTAGCAGCCTCAGGCTCCCTTCGGAGTGAATGGTATGTGGATGAATAGAAGGTAACAAAGAAGTCCATCTCTTTGAGTCTTTACTACAAAACATTTATTGCCAGGGGGAGATCTTTCAGAAGGCTAATTCACTTTTGGCGTTCTCCCAGGCCAGTTTTTGTTGGCACAATATTTACACCTGTACAATATATACAGTACTTCTCTGAAGCAGCGCCAAAGGGCACAGTAAAGTGATGTAATCGGTGAGTGGGCGTCAGAGCACCTGAGGGTGCTGGGGAGCGTGCAGGTTGAGGGCGTTGGAATGGGCGTGGCCGATCAGGTTGAGGTAATGCCGGTCCAGGCCCTGCACCTGCGCCAGGAAGGGGCTGTGCTGTTGTGCTTGGTTGGGGAGTGGCACAGGTGCGCTGGACAGATAGGGCAGTGCTTGGCTGCGGGCCGCGCCGTGAGGCCAAGGGAAAGACCCAGGGGCCGTCCCCTGCGGGAACACGGTGGCCTCGCTGTGACCGGGGAATTCCGACCCCGCGGCGTGCAGCTGATAGGAAAAATCCGGCTCTGGGAGCGATGCGAACGGCTGGAAGGCAGGCTCCGCGCCCAGGCGGGCCTTGGACTGCAGGAAGGCCAGGATGCGCGCATACTTGCTGTCCTTGGTCTCCATCCGCTCCACTGTGGTGAGGTAATGCACCAGGTTCTTCATGCACTCGTGGTAACCGTAGTGAAAGTAGTTGGCAAACTCTGCTAAAAGCTCTGCTGGAGTGGCAAGAAAGATAGTGATGGTGGTGGTCTGCGGGAGGGGAAGACACTGAGCACTCCCCTTGCGAGTGAGGAGTCCCAGACAGGTGCTGGACATAATTTCTCTTCACATTTTTGACCCAGTTCATGCTTGAAGATCATGCTCTCCTCTCCACAGTCATCAGACTAGAATAGCTGGAGCAAATAACCTGTTTTCTCTGAAAGCCTGACTACACCCACCCTCCTAAAAGGAGCATCCTTAGAAGCCACTTAGAAGCATCTTTTTAGAAGCCGCTCCGACAGTACCAGCGAGGAGCTTTTGCAGGAACCCGGCGCTCAGGGGCTCTGGCTGCTTCGCTCTGACAGACCCTCTCTTGGACTCTCCCCACCCCCATCTCCCCCCACTCCCAACTCCCAGGTCCTGGTGTGGTTCATTCTCAATGACCAGGTTTCCGTTTCTGTAGTCCATGCCCACCTTTTTCCCTTCCCCTGGGGAAATCAGCGGAGTGCAGAGCTCTCAGGTACTGAACAGTCATCTCGAGGATCTCTGCCTTCTCCAGCTTCCCGGAACTCTGCAAAAGTAGAAAGGGCTCCTTGTGGCGGTCCAGCGACCGCAGACAGACCCAGCTGGCTGGCCAGCACCGTGTTTTCTGGAGAAGATCAGCCAGGAAGATGCTGCCTGTCACGGATCTGTGCCAGAGCAGCTCAGCTCTCAAGTTCCCGGGGAGAGGCGCGTGTTCCCTAAAGCCAGCTACGTCCGCAGAGGCCTGGCATTTCCACGGAGAGTGGCAGTGGGGTTTCCCCAACGCCTGGCACCCGGCAAACGTTACCTGCTTCGCTAAGGCCATGGGCACCGTCTTGCCCAGCTCATTCAAGCAGCGGTTGATTCGGTCTCTCCTCCGCTTTTCTATCACTTTATGAGAAACAGGGGTTCTCTGTGAACAGAGGTTTTTATATTTAGGATGGCTTTGCCCAGGGTGTCATCCAAGGCACAACTGTTTGCTACAGAGATTCGCCACCAGAAGGGACTCCGGCCCCACCACACTGGGCCAAGAGAGCTCTGTTCCCTCTAGCCCACACTGGTGCGCTCCCCCTTCAGCCACTCTACCCATTTCCACCCTTCGGCCAAGCAAGGCGCCAGGAATTTGGGGAGGTGGCCACCAGCTTCCCAGGGTGAGAGTCTCCTCGGTTGAGGACTGTCCTTCCTTTCTCTGTGTCCCCTTTCCAAACCACTTTGGCTTCCTCCAGGCCCAAAGTCCAGTGTGGCCACATCTGTGTCATGGGTCCAGCCAGGAGGCAGGATGGAGAGTCACAGGCCTCCACCGCCAGGGCGCAAGGACTCACTTTGCGTTCCTTGAGCTTGTCTGACATCCTGGTCAGTACGTGCCCTCGGCAGAGGCTGTGACGCTAGGCACCCGTCCACGTTCCACCTCGTGTGCCTCTTCGAGTGTCCCAGGTAGACTGCAGCCTCCCAGCTCCGAGGGGCTGCCTTATAAAGCGGTCATCTAGAAATCCAAGTGCATTCACGAGTTGAATTATTCCATAGGATTAGGGATTCTGCATTTGGAGGATGTATGCATTCAAGATCAGTTTTACAGAAGTTAAAGGGGAAAAAAATTAGCAGCCGAGGGGGGCGAGCTGGGGGCAGATCAGCTTTGTTAATCCACGTGGCCCCTCAAAGGACACGTGATCAGTTGGGGCATAACATTTGCATGGCAACAGCCCCGGCGGGAAAAGGAGTTAGTAAACTGGAGCCGGCGGGCCAGGAGCGCAGGGCGCAGTGGTAGCGGGCACCAGGGGGTGAGGACCATACAAAACAGTGTCCCCTCCTTTAGTCCCATCACCGAGCCTCACAGGATCGCCTGTTTACAAATCCCAGCAAGCCCGCGGTCCCAGCGCCCAGTGCGTTTTAAAGCCTGTCCGGAGTCATTAAAGTAATTAAGTAAGCCTTTAATAGGCTGTTCCGCCGGGTTCAAGGGAGAGCTCCTGGAGACGGAGGCTCCCCATTTGTTCCCAGGCTTTTCTCACACGACTTGGTGACACGTCCATCTCCCCCCTTTTTGTTTACTCCGCTTTATTTGTCCGGACATCCTGGCAGGTGTGGGACTGCGGCGGGCACACGAGGCTCCCGCCTCGCCTCGCCCCTCCCGCGGGTCTTTGGCACGCGACGCTCCCCCCTAGTCCCTGACCATGTCGCCTGCTTTCTTTCCTCCCCCCTCCGGCTCTCTCTTGGCGGGGGGAAGAGGCTCAATTTGTAGGCTATTATCCTATAGGAAAATGTCCTTTGAAAAGTATGAATAGTTTCATTGGGCTAAATTTTAATAATGCCAGGGGTGGGGGAGGAGAGGCAGGCGGGCGTGTGTGTGTGAGTGTGAGGGGGGTGGTGAGCGGATTGGGGGGCAACACGGAGAAGAGTGGGCCGAGAAGAAAAGGGGGAATGCAGCTGGCCCAGGCGAGCATTATGCGACGTCACCTGCGTGAGGGGGCGCCTACAGACCCCTATTCATTTGCCTAATTTTGGTCAATTTAACAAACTTCAGGAGAAATTATTGTGGCTTTGTCAGGGAGGGTGAAGCCTTCTGATCGAATTAACAGCATGTTTTGATCCGGTAAATGTCATTAGAAAGGGAGAAACAATCGCGCTTAGAGGGCTCTGGGTAATGCGCCCAAGTGGAGACGCCAAAGCGCACCGATCCCTTTGTGAGCCAGAAACTGCCACAGGGAACTTTTGTACCCGCCCATCGCCCAAGTTTTGACACAAAAAGGCATTATTTCATACTTGAATACGTTTAATCCAACGATTGTCTATTTTCTGCAAACATATTTTCACAGCATTGTTAACTTTTTATGTCCCCCTTTCGCGGGCGCCTTTCTTAACGTTTGGGGGCGGGAGAGCGCAGGCACTTTGGGCATCAATATTTGTCACTGAAAAGGGCCCCGTGAAGTTAGGGAAGTTGATCTCTTTTTTTATGGTTTTAGAAAGCGAAAATATAGGGGGAGGAGGAGGGAGGGACGGCAAGGACAGAAAGGAGGAAGAAAATTTGCTGGACGGGCCCAAAGGGAAGGAGGGGGTGGCGGCGCCTGGGAACTCTGGCGCGGCCTGCTGCGCCTCTGCTGGCTGTCTAGTCCCCAGGCCTCCAACTCACCAACTAGCCTCGCTCTCATTCGCCGACTCCGGGGTGGTGAGGGGACCATTCTTGCAGATGGAAACAATAAAAGTGATCTTTGTTTTATGACCTGTTCTAGAGTCACCTACTTCCCAACTTTTCATAAATCTTTTCCATTCGGGAACAAGGAAGGCCTCTCATTTGATGGATGTCTTTCCTTTACTGTTTGTCCCAACTCCGCGGAGTAAATTCTGCCTGGTCACCTAATGGCAAGCCTGAGGCGGTTCCTCTGGGTGGTGCCAGTCCTTGACAGGAGTGGGAAGGGTGGATCCCTGCTTGCTGGTAGCTCCAGGGAAACTCCAGGGCGCAGAGCCAGGAGTACCAGGTGCCAGGCGTTGGAGAAGCGGCGGTCAACCCGAGGCCACCTGGGAGGTGTGGGAGTCAGTTTGCACCCAAGTGTCCCAAGGTGCCCGTCTTGCTCCAAATTTCTTCTCCACTTTCTGGCAGATTGGACACGACTGGCACCCTCCTGCAGGTTGCTCGATGCCCTCTTGGAGGGTCTCCATTTCAGCATACTCACTTGCACACAAAGGGATTAAACAGGAACCCTTAATATCCACATCAACTTAGTGAATGAGTAAAGAAGCGCGCGCACTTCCTCCCCCTCCTCTCCCCCCCAGCGGATGAAGAGCTGATCCTCTTACTGCGGGTGTTAACCACCAGCTGCAGGCACCTCCAACCAGCCAAATTTCACTCCATGTGAGCTGTTTAATTTCCAGGGATTTGATGTCTGCTAGGGACTCAAAGTTTGCCCAGAGCTAAAAGTTCCTAGGGTGGTTGAGCTGGGGGTGGTTTGGGGTGGGTGGGTGCAGAACCCTGAAGCTCAGGTGTGCAAGTTCACCCTGTCATTGGAAGCTGCAGCACCTTTCAGACCTGAACTTCTCCCTTGGCATTCAGGTGGGGGAAATGATATTTCAGTTTCTCTCTTCCTTGCCAGAAAGCCTGAATCACACTGTCAGAAAGAGGGTGCTTGGTCTCACCTTTACCCTCTATCTTTGGGGGTGATGATCATGTATAACTAGTTTTTGTTTGCACCCAAAATGAGAGCAGAGGGGTGAAGAGCAGTGGTGTCTGGAGCGGCTCAAACTGCAGCTTCATACTTGTGGATTAAACCCCAAGGTAGGTCCGGCAAGTTAAGGTGGCTGAGCTGTGCCTCAGTTTTCTGCTTCTGTAAAATGGAGATAATATTGTGTCCACTATTTCTCATGGCAGGCACTAAAGTAAAATAAGGGATGAGCTATAAGGCACTCAAGAAGGCCTGGCTGCCCCATCAGTGCTTTTATTTTTGCCAACATTTCCTTTGCAGTGGCCTTTCTGTTTTAGCAGTACTGTGGGGTCTTCCCTCTTAAGATTTTTTCGCTCATTTCTTAGGTTTTTATTTGGTTTTTTGTTTGTTTGTTTTTGTTTTTCCTCATCTTTGAGAAAGGCTTGCCCTCTCTGCAAGTCTGGGCAATTCCTCTGGAAGCCTGTTGAATTTAACACAAATTAGGAAACTGAATGGGGAGAGGGGCTGGGCACCCCCTCACAGGGAACATCACCTAGGCCTCTCTGGCCAGTTGTGTCTTTCTAGTATGTGTGTAAGCCTGGGATAAAAGATTAAAAGCCCATCAGTGTAATGGTCATTCAGAAATGATTCAAGTACTCAGTGAAGCAGTGGGGATGTCTGAAGAAAGCCAGGCCACAGAGGGCCCTCAGAGGATGCATATTTACAGTTAGGTAGGAGGGAGGACTCATATTAGTGCACAGCATGGGGACTAGAGTTAATACTGACATACTGTATACTTGAAAACACTAGGAAATGGACAGTAAGTGTTCACACCACAAAATTATAGCCACGTGAGGCAATGCATTTGTTAACCACATGACACCATTCCTCAGTGTGCAGTCAGCCCTCTGTATCTGAGAGTCCTGCATCTACAGATTCAACCAACTGTGGATTGAAGAAATTAGGAAGGAAGCGTGTGTGTACTGAGCATACCTGGAGACTTATTTTCTTGTGGGGGGTATTTCATGTATAATCCAGTGTAACATCTATTTTCATAGCATTATATTATATTGGGCATTATAAGTAATCTAGAGATGCCTCAGCATACACAGGAGAGTCAGAAAGGGGCCAGCAAGAGGACAGGAAGGATGAGGGAGGGCAGCAAGGTGGGTGGTGAATGCAAATAAAGTAAGACATTTATGCATGAAAATACCGCAATGAAACTCCCGACTTTATATGTTAACACTATTTTTTTGAGACAGACTCTCCCTGTAGCCTCAACTGGCCTGGAACTCACTTGCTATGTTGTAGACCAGGTTGACTTCAATTTTACAGAGAACTGCCTGTCTCTGACTCCTCAGTGGGAATGCTGAATTAAAGGTGTGTGCCCAGCTATATACTGACTTTAGGAAGATAAATAAATCTGGGGCTCAAGATGTAGCTCAGTTCTAAGAGTGCTTGCTTAGCATGCAGGAAGTGCTGAGTTCCATTTCCCATACCACATAACTGGAGGGGGAGGGGGATACACGCCTCTAATTTCAGAGGTGAAAACAGGAGGACCATCTTTGGCTACATAGGGAGTCTGAGGACAGCCTAGGATACATAAGACTCAATAAATTAAATAAGTAAATAAATGAATAAATAGGAGAATATCTCAGGTTATATACAACCACTATGCCATTTTATAAAGGGAATTTAAGCATTCATGGATTTTTGGTTATCTGAGCAGTTCCTGGACCCAATGCCCCATGGACATTGAGAGATAAAACACCCTGTTTTTCCATGATTAAATGTGGTTTGTCCTCTGAGAGAGTCCGTAAGATTGGAGTGTTGCTCCTCAGGGTGGTGTCTTTAAGGGGAGGTGGTAGAGCCCAGTGGGAGGTCCTTTGATCACTGGGGACATGCCCAGTAGTTCTCATGGAGCCCTTGGCCATTCCCTGGAGGGAGTTGTTATAAAAGATGAGCTTATCTTCCCTCAGTTCTGCTTCCCATATCCAGTTGCAATTTCTTGCTTCTGTACAAGTTTTCACATTGTCACCCACCATGATATTATATATCTGAAAGGCCCCTCACCAAGGCCAAGGAAATGTAGGCACCATGCCCTTGAACTTCCAAAACTGTGAGTTAAGTAAGCCTACTTTCTTTATAAGGTTAATTTGCTCAGATAGTTCATTATGACAACAAAAAGTTGACTAATTTAATACTGTATGTTTTAAATAGATAAATTTAATGTCATTTCAAAAATAAATAAATTTGGAAAAAAGAACTATTGGACACAAGGCTACTTAGCAATTAGGCAATGCTAA